CAGGATCAAATATATCAACGTTTGTTCCGCAACAGGCACTTTGCTTTGTATGAAATACGCTGTTTGCACAATATATAGATGCTACTGAAATTGCGGATGTGCTGCTTAGAATCGGAATCTTTAATGATGGGCCAACAGTCCGGGTTCAAGGTACAACATCGTAATAGCTAGAGTGGAGACTGACAGCCGAAACTGGGAAGAGTCCTTTTAGGACAGATCTCCACAATATACTAAATTAATGTAAGCGGTCGCTCTGGTTAACTTGCCAACCTGAGCATTTTACGCGGTGACTTCATTCGGTGGCGAGTCACAGCCGCTAAACGGTCATTTGTGGCTATTATAAGGAGAATGCTTGTCAGTCAAAGACCCTCCACGTCTTGGAACACTGCCGCCAATCGTTTAAATGGCTCCTACGGTAGGTACCCTTGGCTGTTCGCGGTCAGGTGAGCGCAACTTTCCTGCGCTGCCTAACCGAGATGCCTAGTCCACGTACGCCATGCTACTTGAAACCGATTAAAAGTTGAAATGTCCAGGAAAGTCAGGTGAAGTATTGCGCAGGCTGTAAGGATTTGAATTATTGAAAATATTATAATTTGGTTTTCCCTTCGTGGTGTACTGGTCCTGGCAAGAAGGCTTCGTGTTCAGGTGTTCACAATGGACGTGTCAGGTGAAGAGTGCAGTTGACTCTAATCAGGCCAAAAAGCGGTTCCTCATAAAAAAACGTGGGATCCATCGGAAGGTTGCATAAATGTTTTTCAGACAGTCAGTGGAATATCAGAGTTCTAGACCGGACCTCTGGGTTCAGGGCACGTAAAAGTACAGATTGCACACAGAAGGGAAGCAAAGTTTCTTTATTGATGTTATTGTCAAGTGAAGTTGTCCTTGTATGCAGTGATGGGTCCATGATGTGCCATCAGAAAAGCTCCAGGTAGTAGTATTACTTCGTTCTTGCGGGACTGTAAGGCGCTGAACCCAGTTGTTCGAACACCAGTAAAAGGTAGCAAAGCTTTCCATGTCAAATGATAGTGAGAGAAGCATCTGTTTCCATAGTGAACCAAGCAATCGGTGTAAAGACTGTTCCAGTGGTTAACTTCTTGTGCCCTGATTGCAGAGGAGGTAAACACATTTGTTTAGGCACTGTGCGTTCGGCATCTCACCAACTTGCCAAATTGGTGATCCGTTCGGAAGGTACTTGGAATCATCGGAAGGATACTTTGCTGTTGAGGTCATGGGGAAGGCGTCAGTGGTTTCAAACGGGCTGGCTGTTGAGGCTGCGTTGGTCATTGCTAGAAGATAAGCCGTCTTGCGCCAGCCGCCGTTTCTGCAAACTGTCGGTAAAACAAGCACCGAACAGGAGGCAACCAAGCTGCCACACAAACTAGAATGCATCGATCAACTCTATTAAATGGTGATTGCATACAGTGGTACCTAGTTCATCCTAGTATGTAATATTCCTCAGTATATATGATTTATACGTGACTTATTCGATCACATCTGGGTTGCAGCTAAGACTATAACAACAGCTCGCGAATAAGTTTCCATAAAGTGCATTATCTAGAGAGATAAGCGTGTTCACAGTGTTTAGCGCAAGTACCGTATTGGAAAGATGCATATCCAACGTAATGAAATGGTGCAAGAAGGTTTCAATGACTCTTAGTGAAATCCATCCGGAATGGAGTATCCATTTAAGTGATGCTGTGGCCAACTGGATTACAGTGCATAGCAAGCGTAGTCTCTGGATATAACAGCCTACCAAAGTGGGTGGCTCATGCAAAGAATCGATGCTAAGGCGTGTAAAATCCCGCGAGGATTTTTATGTAACGCAACCAGGCAGGTCAGCAAATCAAGTGAAGTAATGCCTCGGAAGCTTAAGAGCATTCGCGTAGCAGGCCCATCTGGCAAAACTAAATTAGTCAGTGCATTGGATTAGAACGTACAATGAAGGCGGAAAATGTCTATAACCATGGCTGAATCAGTCAAGCAGGCTCTAGCTGTGACGGAAACACAGTGCGGCGTCTGCAGTGTATACCGCTTAATTCTCGGTAACGCAGGAGCAGTCCAACAAAAATAGGCTGGCCAGTAAGTCTTGATTCCGGCAGGGCAGTGAGAGCTGCCCATCCGGTGGAAGAAGGAAAGAAAACAGAAAGCGCGAAAAGAATGGTTGGGGTCAGTGTGAGAACGTTAGTGACTTAAAATATGGAGAAGCCTGTGAGGCTTTCTATGGAATACAGACAGAGCGTTGAACTGGCCGAACCAAGAATGGTCACGTTTAAGTAGTCTGCGTGAACCTGGATAACGAAAGTCCGATCTGGC